GTATAAACATATATTCTTCTTAGAATATATACATATGCAATATAAAATGTGTCTATTTGGCTTCATTTAATTATAATTATAAATAAGTATAGAGATACTATCCATGAAGTATGTACTTATCCTCAACATTTTGCTAGAGACATGGGATATAAGGGAGGTAAATAAATTGTCCCCTACTCAAAGAATCAACAGTCTTAGGATTTAAGAAAGATTTATACGCATTAGTAAAATAGTGAGTAATGTAAATCATTCTACTTATGGGACAAAGGGTATCTTACAGATATTAAGCCAATGATTGTCACATTTCAGGATGAAAAAAAATATGTATAGAGTTAACCAAGCAGGAAAACCCCCAAGATTCCCAAGGTCCATTTTGATCCAATATGGCACTCATCAGCATTCATGTCAAGTGCCTCTGGCTACTTGAATGTAATTAGTCCAAGAAGATCCTGGGATGGATAAGGAAAGTCAAGGATCAGGGACTTGGGCATAGACTGGAGTTTTCAGGATTGATTTCGTAGAGCATGAGATTGGAGATGAATCTATAAGATCAAATTTTAGCATGGGTGATATTTAAAGACAGGAGGGAAGCACGTTATTTCAAGGAGGAAAAGCACAAATTTGACAGTGAATATGACACAGATAAAAGAAAACCAGAAAACAAGACTGAGAAAAACTAGCTTCTACTACGCTCCTGCTGAGTCTGTATGACACAAGCATTGTGGGCAACTGAACTGCTTTAAAATAGATGAGGAAGTACTGTTTTAGTACAGTAGGCAGTGTGTCAATCTCATAAAATAGATAAGGAACCTTCTATCACTCTGTGCTTGAACCTTTCATATCACTTATGTCCACTCATAATGATTAATGGTAAATCCCAAAGATGTGATCCTTAAGTTTGCCAAACCACACACAAAGTCTACATTTGGTAATGATTCAAATGAGTAGTCAATATTGTAGACATGTGACATAGCTAAAAAAAAAAAAAACAACAAAGCTAAAAAAATGCATTGCCTTAGGAATCAGAAAGCATTGGATCTAGTAAGGGGTCATGGGGCAGGGCTTGAAGGGAGGGGAGATAGAACATAGTGATATAAATGGGGAAAGGGAAATACTGAATAGAAGGGGTTAAATGGGAGGACAGGATAGAGGAGAGCATGGGGAGGGATAACTAACACTAAAGACTTTTGAAGAAGTCATATGGAAATCTACTATTGTAGAAGATTCTTAGAATATATACATATACAATATAAAAAGAGTTTATATGGAGTTACCTGATGGGAGGGGGGCAAAGCTCCTACCAGACACAAGCTACCAAATAAAAAGCCCAATGCCAGGAATGGACTCCTTTTGGAATTGTTGATCAAGGGAGCCCCATAGACCCTCAGCCAACCTGGCAATTGGTCTTGGATTCCCCATAGACCTTGATGGTAAGACTCTATTGCTGAAAACACTACATATGTGAGTCATTTAACTAACAAGAAGAAATCAAGCTCATTCTGATCTTGAAGCTACATCTCTACTGGCTGGTCTTCATAGTACTAGAAGGTGCTAGGCATGTTACCAGAAGATAAACGTAATTATCAGCCTTACCCTACTGTGAACTCTGTGAGCTACAATGACTAGTCTGTCAAGATATATCCATTGGTACAGTAGTGGCACAAATGCTATCAGAGTCACCAATATCTTCTGATTAGATTTAAGGCTCACGTCATAAGGTAGAATTCATGCCTAACACTGTCATGGAGGCCAAGGATCTGTGAGTAGACAAATTACAGGGCATAGGGGAGAGCCCATTACTACTGATCTGATAATTGGACTAGTATTAAACTGACTCTTAATGACTTATTGCTTTACCCATAGATTGGTGCATTCCCCAACACTCACCAGAGAAGCCTCTTCTTGCAGCAGATAGTGATGAACACTGAAACCTACAACTGGTCAACATGCAGAGAATAAGAGACTGTGTCAGTCTCAGGCCTAAATGGAACCACTTGTATCATGCCCTCTCTTCCTAAAGCTCAGTGAACATGGTGGAAGTGAAGTTGGAAAGATTGTAAGAAAGATATAGTGAATGAATACAAGAAACAATATTTTCTGGACACAACAGGACAGTTGTACATATGAACCCACGATGGTTATAACATATGTACAAGACCTGTAAAAGCCAAAGTCAGGTAAAAGCTCACCAAAGATAGAGGAGATGGGCAAGAATCCTCAACTCCAGCTGAGGAACTATTGGCAATTGACTACTGCTAGGAGAGGAAGAGTGAGTATGACTCTAAGCAGGTTGAGCAGCCTCCGGTGTGGTCCAAGATGCTTCAAATCATTTGGGGAACATAAATTAGACTTATTGTTTTTTGGTGTTTCTGAGGCAGGGTGGACCTGTAGCCCCAGCTGCCTTGGAATTTGCAATGTAGAGTATGCTGGCCTCAGTCTCTCAGATGTCTACCTGCCTCTACTTCCTGAGTACTGAGATTAAAGGTCCGCACTACCATGCCATTCAGAACACAAGTCTTTAAAAAATGATAATAATAGTTGACATGAATTTGAGGGGAAGGGGTCTAAACGTAACAAAAATATTTTTAAAGAAGAAAGGATTGAATTGGTTTTTTTCTATACCACTTAGTACCTGGAATATTTTATCAGACTGCTTTGAATTTTACTTTCTATAAAATAAAAAAAAAAAAAAACAATACAAATGTACATAGGTTGTTGACCCACTAAATTTTCTCCTTCCTACTCTCTGTTTGACCTGCCCTCACTGTCCTCAGGGTCTCTTGCTCTGGGAGCTATTAGGCAAACCACATGACATACTTTGTCCAGGTTTTTCATTTTGTATCTTGGGTGGGGGAAATGGAGTAACTTACAAAGGCAAACACCCAGTGTTTCACAAAAGGTGGACACCCAGCTCCGTGTTCTCCTCTGTGGCTCAGCAACCGGACCGCCCAGATCTCTTCCACTCACCGTTAGCTTTTGCCGGCACCTCGTGGGTCTGCAGTCTCACCCCAGGTCGGTAAATGGCCCCTCTCTCATCCAACCAGGTACGGGGACACCGGGACACCGGGACCATCCTTTTTCTCCCGTGCCCAGCCGCCTCCTTTGACACCCAAAGCCCCTCCCTCCGGGTAACTCTAGCAGTCAATTCTCTGGAGCAGGCCCCGCCCGTCGGAGGAACGGGGGCCCTTTGTGTGTGTATGGTACTTGGTGTTATACCTGGAGTTTCACACTTGCAAGGCAAGGGCTCCAGCACTGAGCTATATTCTCCACATTTTTTTACCTTTTAAATATTGAGCGAGGCTCTCATGTCATCTTGAACTTGCTATGTAGTCCCGGCTGTGCTTGACTCTGCAGTTTTCCTGCCTCAGGTTCCTGAGTAGCTATAATTACAAACATGGCTAGCATTGGGTTTTGAAGCTTCTGTGAAGCTGCGATAGTAAAATCTCTGGTGCGTAGTAGATAATAGTGTACAAATATACAATATTTGTAAGTTTTTATGCTTGAACAGAGGTTTGTTGTTTTTTTTTTTCTGTCTTTTTGAAGTAAGGTCTCCCTGTAGCCCCAGCTGTCCTGGAACTCACTATGTAGACCAGGCTGGCCTTGAACCCACAGAGATCTGCCTGCCTCTGCC